TTTATGGTAGAAACAAAATCTCCTTTCACTGGTTCTGAAAGTGGTTGTGTTCTCTAAGAACAGCCAAAGTTAGCAGTTTCTCATGTATCTTCTCAGATAGAATCTGTGCATCTACGAGGAAATATCTGCACATATTTGTTCTGCTTTGTTTTTCTTTATTTTTGTAGAAACAAAGCCTTGTATATAACCAACTGCCTCTTGCTTTTCTCACTTAAAAATACACCCAATTCCAATCAGTGTATGTTATGCTGTCTTGTTACTTATTTCTTCATTGATTAAAATATAGAAATAGAAACAGATGCTAGTACCGCATTTAAATACATGAATCCCATCAGAAAACTTGAGGCTTCATCCGAGGGCTTGAGTTTGAACCCTGACCTCACTTCCTGCCAGCCCTGCCACCTTGGGCAACTTGCCACACCTCTCTCTGCCATATTTCTCTTCAGTTATAACATGCGGATAATAGGGGAAGGTTTTGTAGGCCAATTTGGGAGGCCCTCTTGAAATTTATAAATCTAGGCTGGGTGTGGTGGCTTAGGCCTGTAATCTCAGCGCTTTGGGAGGCTGAGGCAGGAGGATCACTTGAGGTCAGGAGTTCGAGACCAGCCTGAGGAAACATAGTGAGACCCCCGTCTCTACAAAAAATACAAATATTAGCTGGATGTGGCGGCATGTGCCTGTCGTCCCAGCTACTCAGGAGGCTGAGGCAGGAAGATCCCAGGAGTTCGAGGCTGCAGTGAACCATGATCGTGCCACTGTACTCCTGCCTGGGCGATGGAGTGAGACCCTATTTAAAAAAAAAAAAATTACAGATATCAAGTTAAGCACTTCCTCTGCAGGGGCTGGGAAGTCCCCTGCACGTGAGAGGCGCTGAACCTCATTCGCTTCACCACAAACCCGCCTCTACCTCTAGTGTCTACCTCATAGGGCTGTTGGGAGCACAGAGCGTGTCTTGGGTAACTGGCACCTGGCTGGGGTGTGGTGGGTCTGACTCCCAGACTCAGGTGTGTCAAGAACATTTACTTTCTTCACGTACCACAACCTACCTGAAGTTCTGACAGCAAGCTCCCCGCGTCACTGAGCTGGCAAACACTGTCACTCGCGTCACTCTTGAACTGGAGCCACCTCGCGCTGAAGCAGTGTCAAGGCATGGGGCGAGGACAGGGGTCTGTTCTTCTTTGATCATCATTTCTCTTCGGTCGTCTGTCCACACAGGTCATGGCTGAGGCATCTGGTGTCCCTTTCTTCGGAAGGACCCCTCAAATCTTCCACCCTCCACTGCGTCTGCGCCATGCGTAGGGCTTTGAGGGGTGCCCAAGGGTGCTGTTTAGCTGCCTGTAGGAGGATGTGGATTGGGGGGGCCCAATGGCTCTATTCTAGGCCTTAGCAGAGAGCCTGCTCTTTGAGGGGAGAAGCAATGAACCTGGTGGTTAAAAGCACAGGATGGGGTGCCTGGGAGAGTTGGGTTCAAATGCTGCAAAGCCTTGTTTTCCTCATCTGCAGAGTGGCAAGGGTGATATAACAGCTCCCTCAGAGAACAGGGGGGAGGAATTAAATGTCTTGGTAGGCTTAGCATAGCATCTGACGACGGTCCCTGGGCTCTTTTAACAGAGGTCACACTTCACTCCTCTTTGCTGTTGTGTGACTGGGAAACTGAGGTCCCAGAGACACTGGCTGGCCGCGTGAAGCTCAGCACTCAACCGTCCTGTCGATGGCGGCTGGGGTGTGGGCACCGACGGCGTGCTCACCCCGTTTGCAGATGACCCCAAATTAGATGCAGCAGCTGGTATTTTAAGTGACCAAACCAGGGCTTGAAAGCACCTAAAGCAGATGAAATGATAGTCTAACTCCCCCCCGCCCAAGTAAGCATGGATGGATGTAAACATGAGAAGAGATTCTGGCTAAAGGTTCAATAATGTCCCATTGGCCGGGCGCGGTGGCTCACGCCTGTAATCCTAGCACTCTGGGAGGCCGAGATTGCTCGGGCGGATTGCTCGAGGTCAGGAGTTTGAAACCAGCCTGAGCAAGAGCGAGACCTCGCCTCTACTAAAAATAGAAAGAAATTAATTGTACAACTAAAAATATATAGAAAAAAATTAACCGAGCATAGTGGTACGTGCCTGTAGTCCCAGCTACTCGGGAGGCTGAAGCAGGAGGATCACTTGAGCCCAGGAGTTTGAGGTTGCTGTGAGCTAGGCTGACGCCATGGCACTCTAGCCTGGGCAACAGAGTGAGACTCTGACTCAAAAAAAAAAAAAAAAATTCTAGGTCTTGTCTTAGAGCTAAGTGGGAAGCAGACTGTTTCTTGCTAATTACAGATGAGAAAAGCAAGCAGTGCCAGGAGTTTCTGGCAGCCACTCTGTGACACATCGTAGAAGGAGGAGCCAAGAGACTGAAAGAACGTGGGTCCTTGGTAACAGCTGCTGGATCAAGCCTTGCCTGAAGCTATTCCTAGTTATCGGCTTTCTGGTTATGTAAACCCATAAATTCTGTCACAACCAAAAGTATCCCCATAATGGTAACAATAATTACTTAATAATTATATTAAGTATATCATAATTGCCTAAATATAGGTGAGGAGATAGAATCTTACAGAGTACAAAATATCTGTGTTTGGAAATAATAAGAGACTCTCGTGTGTGAAAAGGTCAGCAAACTGCTGAGTTAGTCCAAGCTTCACTTGGTAAAACAAAGGCCCATAGTGAGGTCGTGAGACTTGCTCCAGGTTTGACAGCTGCTTAGTAGGGCCTGTGACTCTCAGGCTACTAGTGATTGATGTTTAATGATAACTGGAATGCTTGAAGCTCTGTGCACTTGCCATGAAATCTTCACTGCATATTCTTCTCTCTTCCCTTGTCTATTTTACTAAGAGATAGAGAAGGAATGGCAATAATTCTCTTTATTTTGCAAATAGGGAGGCAGAAACCTGGAGAGGCTTAAAGATTTGCCAAAGGTGACACAGCGAGGCAGTGGTAGAGCTCATCCCAGAACACAAATGTCCTGAATGCCATTTAGAGTTCAGCCCCCTCCACCCCACCCCAGAGCTAGCCACTTCTGCCTCCATGAGATTAGGGCATGGTAGACCTTTCTTGGTCTTCCTTCTTAGCTGCGGAGTAATAAAGAGGACATTGAGCCCAGGCGAGGTGGCTCACACCTGTAATCCTGGCACACTGGGAGGCTGAGCTGGGAGGGTCGCTCAAGGTCAGGAGTTCGAGAGACCAGCCTGAACAAGAGTGAGACCCCGTCTCTACCAAAAATAGAAAGAAATTAATCAGCCAGCTAAAAATGTATAGGAAAAATTAGCCAGGCATGGTGGCGCATGCCTGTAGTCCCAGCTACTCGGGAGGCTGAGGCAGGAGGATTGCTTGAGCCCAGGAGTTTGAGGTTGCTGTGAACTAGGCTGACGCCACGGCACTCACTCTAGCCTGGGCAACAAAGTGAGACTCTGTCTCAAAAAAAAAAAAAAAAAAAAATGTCCCGTATTAAGATGTCTGCCCCAAACTAATGTGATCTTTAGAGGTGTAGGGTTGAGGGTGAGGGAGGTGATAGCTGGAGGGCTGTGTTCACTTCTGGTTGCCACATGTTGCAAGAGTCAGGGAGAAGCCAGAGTCCAGTCTGAGGAGGGTGAAGGATAATGAGAGCTGGGGACACTGAGAAGACTCGTAGGGTCAAAGGCAGGAGCAGCCGCATAGCTCTGCCGGGCTCCAAGGACAGAACTGTCACCTACAGAGATAACGAGGGCTGAGAGCCAACTCGGTGGCTGTCAGAGCTGTCCCACAATGAAAAGCCTCGCCTTCAGAGGTAGTGAGCCCCCCATCACCAGTGGCATGCAAATAGAGTGAGAGGGAGGTGAATTTGTGAAAAAGCAGTTTAATAGCCTGCCTCCATTCCATTTCAGAAGCCAGGATGCTGGTGACAAGGTGGAATGTCACAGGTCGATGGAGTCAATAGATTGACTGTGGCTTCACTAAGAAGAGAAAGCTGGATTTTTAACCCTTTGCACTTGGATGTCGAGTGTGACTTGACACGGTTAGCAAAAATTATAGAGATTAAAATTACTCTTTGAATGTATCAATAATTTGAAATATAAAAAATCCAAATAAATAAGTTTGTATGAAAAGAAACTCCAGTTTTTTATTCTATTGCTGCGCTTTGTAAAATCTGGGGTATTTAAAAAATTAAATCCCTAGTAGAATAAAGGAATCAAGAAAAAAGCAAGCGAGTGCAAAGGGTTAAAAATATTTTTAAATTTATTTAGATACTTTATAAGCCCTTTATAAAAACCCTTTATAAAAGGGTTTATAAAGGGATGTTATTAAACCTTTAGACAAAATGGCAGTGAGATGGTAGTGAGCTCCCCATCACAAGCGGGATGCAAATAGAGTGAGGAAAGGATTCCTGTTTCCAGCTCTCGGATGCGTTTGTTGTTGCCGTTGTTGTTTTGTTTAAGGTGGGGTCGTGCCATGTCACCCACGCTTAAGTACAGTGGCACAATTGTAGCTCACTGTAGCTTTGGGCACCTGGACTCCAGTACAGTTCTCCCACCTCAGCCTCCTGGGTAGCTGGGACTACAGGTGTGTGCCACCATGCTCGGCTAATTTTTCATAGAGATGGGTCTTACACTCCTGGCCTCAAGTGATCCTCTTGCCTCGTCTTCCCAAAATGCTGGGATTACTTATAGGCTCAAGCCACTGTGCCTGGCCTCGCAGATTGTTATAACAAAAAACTAGGTAATTCGTATTTCCCCTATTTTAAGGTATACTCTAAAAAATTAATATTATTGAAATTGGGACTTACAATCCATGTGTGTGTTTAATGATCCTTCTTTCCTGAAAAGTTGTTGTTTGGCTCAGAGAAATGAAATACATGATTCAGGAGGGTTTATTTGACAATCAGGATTCCATCTTACACTTGTGCCATTAGAATGTATCTCTTGAATATTTTTTAAAAAGCATCTAAATAAATGAAAAATATTTTAAAAAATCTGCTTTCTCTTCTAGTGAAGCCATAGACAATCTATCGAATTCAGCGACCTGTGACATTCCACCTGTCACCGCCGTCCTGGCTTCTCAAATGGAATGGAGACAGGCTATTAAACCGCTTTTTAACAAATTCAGAGCAGCATGTTCTTGGCTGGGGGGAGAAAAATTCCACTTATCAAGAGATGTTATTCCTTCAAAGGATGAGAACCTACTTCTACATAAAGAGAATTTGGAGGGAGCGTTTTGTTCTGTGGGGACATCATCTGGATTTGAATACATCCCTGCTCAAAAGGAGATTTATTATAATGGACCCAACTCAAAACACTCAGAGTACAAGGACCGGTGAGTTTTCAAAAGGAGGCACTTGGAGAGGCTGGCGAGGGCCCTTGTGTGGATTTTGGAGGTCAGGGAGGGCTGCCGAGCCCTGCACGTAACTTTCCTACTGAAAGACTCATCCTCCTCCTCCGCCCCCCTCCCTCTACGCCTCTCCGGAAACTTTGGGACCCGAGTTCGTTTAAAAACACTTGTGGTTTTAGGAGGCTCTTGTTTATTATAAAGCTGCCAAGGAGACCTTACAATGAAAGGCGTTTGGAGATGAGAAAGAAGGAAGCCAGGCCAAGGCTGGCCGGGCTCTCAGCTGTGGGTTTATAAAGGAGACTCATGGAGCACAGACACCTGCAGACTGCGCCCTGGGCACTGGACCGCCTGGCAGGTGGTGGGCAGAAGGTGTCCACAGGGACCTGGGTTCAAATCCCTGCTCTGCCAGTCCGTCATTTCCACTGCAATCTTGGGGAGGTTGCATAACCTCTGGGTGCCGTGACACCCTTTCCTGGAGCCCGGAGCGGGAACAAAGCCCCTTGAATCCCTGACATCAGAGGTGACGCGAGTCTCTGCAGGCGGTGACTAGGCACAACCCACTGCCGCTCCCTTTCCCGTGTCTGGGCTGGCCTGGGGTGTTGCTTCCCACCAGGTGGGCTGGCCTCTCTGTTGGGTCTCCCAGCTGCCCTGCACCCCGCACGCCCTGTGCTGGCCAGACCCTCACTCGCTGCTTGGTGACACACTGTGCTCAGATGACATGCCCTATGGGCTGGCCTGTGGAGCCCCCTCCTGGTGACTGCAGGGAGGAGGATCCCCGGAACCAAAGGAAGTCCTTCCTGCAGTCTAGCCTCTGCCTCTCCTGGGGCGTTAGAGGTGTGAGGGGCAGCTGAGGGTAGCGTGCTCTCCCCCCCACCTTAGGAAATAAACTCAGGTGGAGTCCAGACAGCTCCTTTTCTTTGCTGGGCCAGGCCGTCTTGGGGCCTAAATGGAGGGGACCCCTGGGTGCGCTCTATGCCTGATTTCTATGTATAGGACCCTTTGGGGAGTAGGACTAAGGACCGCTGTGAAGGTGGGGTGCCAGGGCTCTCGCCTGGGTGTGACCCCAGAGTTAGGGCTTGCAGAGGGAAAAGGCTGGAAGGCAAGGTTCTGGTGCAGCCCCCCACCCCCTAACCTGGAGAGGCCCCCTCGCCTCACCTCTACCTGGGACAGATGCTGTCAGCGATTCACCAGGACTGGTGAAGGGACTTCAGTTCGCTGTTTGTCTTAAGCACAGATAAAGCAAGAAGGATTCAAGTTAGACACAAGGCAGAACTGCTCAACTCCGAGGGATGTCAGACCTCCGAAGGGAGCAGGGGAGGGGCCTTCCCGCCGAGAGAGCCCCCAGGTGACGTGGGGTCTGGACGAGGAGGCGAGATCTTAGTCTCGGGGGTCCCGGGATGGAAAGGCCTCCTGTGAGGTTCCTGGTGGTTAGGGCCTCGGGGGATGGGGTGAAAGTGGGTGGGTGAGGTCAGGCCGGGGGAGAAACTGAGGCCCAGGGTCATGGCCACTCCCCATCCTGCGTACCTGGTAAACTCATCGTCTTTGCCTCTGGGCGTGCCTCCTCTCCGGCCACTTCCCGGCCCCTATGAGAGGTCACGCTGCCGTCCCACTCCCATGTGCCCCCTGCACGCGCCCCGCCGCCCCGCTGCCCTGTCGCCCCGTCTAGCGCACGTTCTGTGATGGCAGCCAGTGTGTCGGTCCTTTTGCATGGGCTGCGCTCCAATGCGGGCCAAGGCCTGTCTGTCTTGCTCCATCCTGGCTCTGTCCCCAGCACCAAGCCGGCTTCCTGGCACATCCCTGGGGCTGAGTGAATATCTGATGACCTCAGTTGATTTGGGAAGGGGCCCCAGCTCCTTCTTGGGCCAGCTCAGCTTAGCTTTAGGAAGCACCGGGGCAGGCGTGGGAGGAGGCAGGGCCCGGAGGCTTGGCCAGGGGGTGGCCTGAGCACTGTCTGACTTTCCAGACAGGGTTGCTACCCCCACCCCAGTGTGGACCCCGTCCTCACTCTGCCCGAGGCTTCAACTTCCCAAGATGGCCCACCCCTGCCCTGGTGGCCCTCCTTACTCTGCTTGGTCTCTGACACCTGAACTAGGCTGCCCCCATATGAGGCCGCCCCTCACCAGTTGAGCCCTGACACTTCCAGGCCAGGGTGCCTCCCTGCATGGTCCCCTCCTCACCCCACTGTGACACCAGCCTTGCTCCTCTGTGGTTCCCCCTGCCAGAAAGGAGTCTGCCCTGCTCTGCCACACCTGCTGGCTCTAGCACTGGGTTGTTCAGGGAGGGAGGAAGGGAGAGGTGGGGCAGTGCAGCGTTTTTGAAAAAAATGTTTTGACCGTGAAAATTTTTGTGCAGCAAAATTTTGGACAGATTATATATAATACAGTTGCTCTGGTTGAAGAGAGAGTGAAAGAGAAAGCAAGATATAGAGATGGAGAAAGAGAGAAGAGAGAGGGAAGGAGGGAGAGAGGAGAGAGGGCAGAGAGGAGACGGAGAGAGAAAGGAAGGGAGGGAAGGGGAGGGGAAGGGAGGAAAGGAAGACCTCCCAGTGGGCCTGGAGCCCCCCACCCTCTCAGAACTGTCATCTGTCATTAAGTCCTAGGGGTTCCTTGGTGTACAATTTGAGAACCACTGGAAAAGCATTCTGCCCCCAAGAAAATGGGTGTTGCGTTGCAGGCACTAAGCTGTCTTCTCCGAGCTTTCCCGAGAAGGTGCCCACCCTGGGGTGGCCCTCACAGCCAGCCAGCCAGAGGTAGCCCGAGCGCATCAGTTGCTCCTGTCCGGAGGTGTGGCCTCTGAGGGACGGGGACCCCGACGGGTGTTGGGGGTGTCCTCCTGGGCCTGTGAGAAGTGGGCTGGGCTTGCAGGGCACAGGCTGTGCGTTATGGGACTTCTGGGCAGACCCCCGGCCCCCGCCATCCGTGACCCTTTGTGACCCTTTAGGTCCCATCTCTGTCCCCTCCACAGTCACCCCCAGGGACAGGGCCTGCAGGGGCCACTGACCTCCTCATGATGCCCAGCAGAGTGCACAACACTTTCCAGTTTGCAGAGCACTTTCACACCAGTCATTGTGGTGTGGTCGTGGCACGTCCAAGGCGGTTGGAGTGGAGAGGAAGCCAGGGACAAGAGGGTGTGCAGACTGCCCTCAGCAGCAGAGGTGAGGCTGGGAATGCAGGCAGACTCCTCGTCCCAGCCCCGTCCTGGTCCTGCACGCACGCCTCTCCCAGCTTCTCCGCCCTCCCTCTGCAGCCGCCTGCCGGGGCTCAGGGCCGTCAGGACTCAGCACTCAGGCATCCCAAGGGGCTGGGAAGCAGACTGTTCGAGGGTCATGGCCCTTTCTCAACACCCGGGGGCAAGCGCTGAGGCCCCCTCCGCGGGAGATTGCAGTAGGGTGACCAGATAATTAGTCATCCAGATTAGGACACTTCTGAGAATGGAAGGGAGCGTCATTAATAGTTACCCTGGCAACAGCCTGCCCTGAGGTCCCCTTATGGTGGAACCACCTGACCCCCTCTCGCTCCCCAGCCTCAGGCCCCAGCTCTTTCCTTCCTGCTGCGTCTCCAGCCCGTGCAGAAAGTCGCCTTTCACTGGGCATTTATCCACAGAGCTTGTTTTCGGGATCTTCACCACAACGCGTGGCTGATCCGGTATGAGTCCCATCTTATTGCTAGAAACACTGAGGCCCAGAAGAAACATGCCCAAGAACACATAGCTGGTAAATGGTGGAGCTGGGATTTGAACCCAGGGAGGCTGGCTTTCCATGGAAGGATTATAACAACATTTTCATAAACCGGTTTGAGCCACGGGATGGGGCGCCCTAAGCCTCTCAGCAGACCTCCCCCCAGTCTCTCAGCTGTTTTTAGCCTAGGGACATCATTAAAAGGGACTCTGAGTGGCAGCTGCAGCAGGGGAGTGGGAGATGTGTAGGCAAGGGAGGGAGGTGGGGTAGCAGCAGGATGAGAGTAGTCAAAGCTAACATTTATCAAGTACCTACTGCATATCAGGCTCTGTTTTTAAGTGTTTTCAAGGCGTTATTCTATTTAATCCTCACAGCAACCCTATGAGCCAAGTAATATTATTATTCCCATTTTACAGAGGAGCAAAACTGAGGCCACTTGCTGACCATGACACAGTGGGAGGTAAGTGGTAGAGCCAGGCCCATCCAGGTAGCCCAGCTTCTAAGGCAGCAAGCTCAGTCGTCATGCAGGGAAGAGGGGAAGGAGACGCTGCTGTGCAGGGGTACAGTTCCCTCCACCCTGCTTCCTGCGCATGTCCAGTGGGCCAATCTTGAGTGAGGAGAGAGTTCCTGGTCCAGCCTCCTGGGGGCGCCAGGCGTTCCCGCTTCTGCTCCACCGGCTCCTCACAGGAGGCTCAGGGAGGACGGGGACGGAGCTGAGGCCCCGCCACCCTCTGGGGCGGTTCATTTTCATTCATTTGCTTTAAACGCTTCTCGCTCTCTGTTTTTAAATCTAATTTTTCAGCTTCTTTTTTATCTTCACTCAAGTTGCTTTAATGAAACGAAAATGTGTCTGTTTCCCTCTGCTGGAGCTGCCCGGGGAATTTCAATATAAAACAAACAAGTTGGCTTTTAAAATTAAAATTTTATGGGTGGCATTTCCTCGTTTAATGGGTGGCACAAAAGACTGGAGTAAAACCAATTAACATGGGGTTGAGACTCGGTGTCTGGCAAAATTAAACAACGGGAGGAGCACGGTGTGCCGCCGCCGGGAGCCAGGAGCAGGCAGTGCAGAGGCTGGGGGTGTGCAGGGGGGCGGCGGAGGGGGGCTGCGGTCGGGTCCCCCAGCTCGCGTGTGAGCCCAGGTTGCACGCTGGCTCCTGTGAACGTGCTGGCCGCAGGCCCCATGCCCAGGTGCCTGTGTGCACGCCTACCTGTGCATTCAGATGGCAGGCAGTGGTGGGGTTTGCCACAACAGGGGTGGCTGCTTGGGAGCCCTGGGGTCGTGGACACTGGGGTCTGGAGAAGCATTGGGGAAAGTAGCTAAGGCTTCTCAAAGGCCAAATTCGCTCAGGTGGCTGTCCCCTGGCACAATAAGAGCCCACCCGTGAAGGCAGGGGCCCCCATCTTGATCACGGCCATGCCCCAGGCCCAGGCAGTGCCAGGAGTGTGGCAGGTGCCCCACAGATACTCCATGGCGGAGCAAATGACTTCGTTCAGGCAAACAGTTTTAGTGAATCCCTCAGGGTGCTGTCACCCAGTGCAGTGTGTGTTCGGGGTGGAAATGGTGACGATGTCACAGGTCATCTGAGGAGGGAGGGGGCGCTTCTGGGTGGGGTCACCAGGGGAGACAGCTTTGTGAAACAGCCAGGGCGGAGCAGCCAGAGGAAGACCAGTCCAGGTGGGGTAAGGGCAGTGTTGAACAGAGGGTGGAGGCGGAGGTGAGAAATGGAGGTGGCAAGTCTGGCCAGAGTGTGAGGTGTGAGAAGATGGATCTGGAAGGCCGATGGGGCCTGGGTCTCAAAGGGTGGCGCCGGGAGCTTCCACTTTCATCCTGGGGCGATGGGGAGTCACTGGAGGTTCCACAGCAGGCCGGTGCCATCGGAGGTAACTTCTGGGAGGCTCAGTCTGGAGGCTGCAGGGAGGGAAAGGAAGAGTCCTGCTAGTTGTGGTGGCTTCAGTCCAGGCTGAGCCGAGGACTCAGGCTGGGCGGGCAGGGTGGCCCTTGGCTGCTGGGGGGCGGGGAGAGAAGGCGTGGGTGACGCTGGGGCCCTTCTCTGAGCCAGGAACCTGGGGAGGAGCAGGGTGGGGAACCGGACCCCAGCAGACCCCCAATACAGACCGACTGCGCTGAGGACACAGGAAGTAGATTTGAGATTGGCAATTGCAGCCACACTACCTGTAAGTCCAGGGAGGGACATGGTGCCGCAGCCACCCAGGAAGTCCCCAGGAAAACAGGCCTCCCAGCCTTGGGGCAAAGGGCTCAGGCCACCGCTTTTGTTCCCTTCACCTCCCTCCTCACCCCACTGGCTCTTTCTGTCCCACCGCTTCTGTCTCCTGACCTCTCATCCTATGGAGAGGACCACTCTGCCTACCAGAGCCCCCGGAGTGGCTCTGGTGGGGAGGCCCAGTGCCTTACCTGCTCGGAGTCAGGAAATTGAGCTGGTCCCCATGGCCACCACCAGCATCCTTAGTCCCCCGCAATTAGGCCTTCAGATGTGAAAAGACACCCCAGACAGAGTCCTGCAGGCTGCAGGCCCCAGGCGGACCCGGCAGAGGTGCGGAGAGCGGGTGCCAGGCCTGGTCTCTCTGAGCGTGTCTGAGGGAACATCCGAGGTGGGAGGGTTTCCCGATGCAGGTCTGCGCTGTGACCCAATCCATCCAAGTCCCTCCAGGGCCTGTCTGAGGATCCAGGTGAGGGTCTCTCTGGGAACCTATCTGAGGTTTTTATCTGTAAGTCTCTTTGAGGCCTATTTGAAGTTCTAAAGATTGCCCGGGTTGGCCTGAGGGCCACTAGTGTAAAACCAATAAAGATGGCCCAAGGCCAAGGCTGACATTGATTCTTCTCCCTCCATACAACAAAGAGTAAATTTGGCCAAGGTTCTTATGGCCGGGGGTTGGTGGAGTAGCTGGTGCTTTTTCTTTCCTGGTGAATGAAATTTATCCCAAACCACAAAAGGGTTGACTGGAGAGAGCCCCCCACTCTATCCTAACAGCCACCTGTCTGCCCTTTTTTTTTTTTTTTTTTTTTGAGACAGAGTCTCGCTTTGTTGCCCAGGCTAGAGTGAGTGCCATGGCGTCAGCCTAGCTCACAGCAACCTCAAACTCCTGGGCTCCAGCGATCCTCCTGCCTCAGCCTCCCGATTAGCTGAGACTACAGGCATGCGCCACCATGCCCAGCTAATTTTTTACATATATATATCAGTTGGCCAATTAATTTCTTTCTATTTATAGTAGAGACGGGGTCTCGCTCTTGCTCAGGCTGGTTTTGAACTCCTGACCTTGAGCAATCCGCCCGCCTCGGCCTCCCAAGAGCTAGGATTACAGGCGTGAGCCACAGCGCCCGGCCTACCTGTCTGCCTTTGACAAACGTGGTGAAGGCAACACACCTCCCGAGGACCACACTAAGCTGCACACACCTCCCTGGGGAAAGAGACACAGCTGGGTCCTGTCTGAAATGTGTTTTTAGGTATGAATAGGAGTTCACCTGGTGAGGAGTGCAGGAAGGATAGTATTGACTGAGTGACACCAGTGAAGACAGAGAAATGTGCAATAGTTCTCTGTGGGTCAAGGAAACTACAAGTACATCAGGTTTTCTGGAGTCTAGAACTTGCAAGACTTAGACATACGACTATCAGGTAAAATAACGTAAGAGAAAGGGCTTTGCAAACTGTCCTCTACTACCCAAAACGAGGCATGGCTGTTACCACTCGACTCTCTTGTTTGTTATGGGGACCAAATGAGTTGAGATGTGTGAAGCTGCATTGTAAACTGGAAAAGTGTTTATAAAAATGTTAATTAATGTATTTAGAGAGTAGGTAGATTAAGTGTGAGAATGTGGAGATGGAGCAGACAATTAAAATATCTGCTAATTTCTCTCTTGAATTCACATTTTAGGAAATGTTTATAAACTGAGAATTCTAATTACTTTTCTCCTTCACACCTCTTTGCAGATGAATACATTGTAAGAGAATGATAGTGTCTGTTAAGAATATTGTCAATTTCCTGGTGTATCAGCTGTGACTCCTTACAGAGCAAGTAACCGGACACCCACTGCAAATGGCTTAACGGGTAAGACGAATGTGTAGTTCATGTGATCTGAAAGTCCCGAGGTAGATTTGATCCAGGGCTCGATTTGATCCAGGGCTCGTTACTCCTGATGCTCAGGACAGCTTCTCCATGTTGAGAGCCAATAGCTCCTAGGCATTCAGGTTTTTGCCTCCAAATCTAGGGAGAGAGTGGGGCTCTTCTTTGGCTAACCACCAAGCAAAATTCCCGAGTTTCACTTCTTTGTTGTTTTGGTTTGGTTTTCTTTATTTTTATATGTTTTGATCTCTGTTGGGCAATACCCTAAGAGCTCTACTTCTGACTGGACTAACTTGGGACATGTGGAGTTCTGGATAAAGTGCTCATCCTTAAAGCTACCACGGTGGTATGGAGACAGGTGAAATGAGTGCAAGGAGGCAGACAGGATGCACACTCTACCTGGTCACTCGGATGGACTGTGGGGCTTCAGGTGTGCAGACCTGGAGTCCTGTTCAGTTTCCAGCCTCACTGCCGATTCATCGTCTGCAACCTCTCTTCCCTGCAGCTCTTCCTTTGCAGCCACGATCCTGGTCGGAGCCTTGTCCCATCAATCCACACTCAGACCACAATAGCTTTTCTTTTAGCTACTTACTCAGCCACTACTCTCTCTCCTTGCCAATACATTTTTTCCCCTCCCCAGAGATGCTCAAAAGCTCAACACACTTAATCATAGCAAAGAACACATATCACAGCTGATGTGATAAGACAAAAAAAAAAAAACACAATTGCAAAATTTATGGGAAAATTAGCATGCACTGCCAAAGACACAATTTTATAACTAGAAAGCCCAATGAAATTAACTAAAAACAATAAATTCTAGCCAATAAGAGTGTGTAGTCAGACATCAGATACAAAATAATAAAAGTTTAAAGCTATTTTTCTATAATGGCAATCAGTTTTAAAAGGTTGTGGCAGGTTATCTGGAGAAAAGGGTCTTTTATTTTTTATTTTCTAACTTAATGAGGAAGCTCGGTTGGGGATAGTTGTTTTCTAGAAACCATGTTAGTTTCAGTGGTACAGACACATGTGACTTTGAATCACACCCTCCTCCCACTTTAATAAAATCACCAGGCTAGGATCTTTATACGAGTAAAGCAACTACCACCTGCTTTTCTAGGAAGAGCCCTGGAAGTAGAAATGCAAACTGAGATGTTAAATATTCTGTTTTGCAATGACTGCATTTCAAGCAGAGTTTGCTGTGGATGTGACCCAGTTTTATGGCCTGGGGTAGGACCAAGGGGAGAACAGGGATTTTCAGGTGTGGACAGGTCTGAGGAGCCTTTCATCAGTGGTTACTCCCTGGTATGATAGGGACCCTGAAATTGAGTGTACAGTCTGTGGCCCCAAGGTAACACTGCATAGCTGTGTAGGAGCCCTGATTGCAGCAAAGAGGCAAAAGAAGAAAAGGTGGGGGTAGGGGGATTGAGGGACTGGGGGGGAGGGGAAGCGGGGGAGGGGTGGCAAGAGAGGCCAGAAGAAGGAGCAACGAGACAATGAATTGATCAGCAGCACCCAGAACTGTGAGTGGAACACCTGAACCCCTATCTAGGCTCCCCAGATGCCTATAAAGTATAATTCTCAAAATATTAAAAACATAATTCTCATGCAATACATACTGAGCATGACCAAAATATTATTTAACTCAAAGAGAGACTCTTTGAAAAAGGTGGATCAAAGAAGGATATGAAAAACTCCTATGAAAAACAATGATGGAATAAGACACTAAATTATTAATAGATACAAAATTGGTTAATATCCTATAGGACAATAAAACCATAACCTTTGGGGATTATTTTCTCTACTGGCTGGAAATCATTTGCCCCTTACCAGTTTTCTACAAGTGAACATCTAATTTTACAGAGCCTGGGCTCTAAGCAGTAGTAATTAGAATATCATTCTAATTATTCTAGATAGGCTTGTTGGCCCGTGCATGGGACATGGAGAGGGTTTACCATCATATTTTTGCCTGTTTTGGGAACCTCATAGAGAAATTTACTACATGCAGTTTGGGTTTGGGGAGCTCAGAGTCCTTCTAAATGAACCCTGAAGTAGGAGCCAGACTTGGATCCCAACATGGTGAGGTGGGGCATATAAAAGCCACCTGGTGCCTGTGGCTTGGTGGGTTCCTGTGGGGATACAAAGGTGGCCTGTCCCCACCCTTGTGCTGGACTTTGAAGCACTTCTCATTGGGCTCAGAGTCACACCAATTTTTTTGTTTTCTGCATATTTTTTTTTTTACTTTTTTTTAAATTTAATTTTTTATTGTGCTAAAATATACATAACAAAACTTACCATTTCAACCACTTTTAAGTGTACAGTTCATGGCATTAAGTACATTCCCATTGTTGTACAACCATCAGCATCAGCTATCTCCAGAACTTGTCATCATCTCAAACCGCAGCTCCATCCATACCTATTACACAAGAACTCCCATTCTCTCCTCTCCCCTTCTCCCACCATTCTTTCTGTCTCTGTGGATTTGATACTCTAGGCAACTCACAGAAGTGAAATTATACAGTGTTTGTCCTTGTATGACGGGCTTATTTCACTTAGCATAATGTCTTCGAGACTCATCCCTGTTGCAGCATGGATCAGAATTTCCTATTTTTTAAAGGCTGAGCAATGCATTGTATGCTTACACCACATTTTGCTGATCCTTTCATCCGCAACGGACACTTCATTGCTCTCACCTTTTGGCTATCGTGAATAATTGCTGCTATGAACACTGGTGTACAAATATCTATTTGAGTCCTTGCTTTCTATTTTTGGGGTATATATCTAGAAGCATAATTGCTGGATCATATGATAACTCTATGTTTATTTTTTTTTATGGAACCATCATAGTGTTTTCCATAGAGGCTGCACCATTTTGTATTCCTACTAGCAATGCACAAGAGTTCTGATTTCTCCACATCCTCATTAACACTTGCTATTTTCTCTCTGTGTGTGTGCATTTTTAAATAAGAGCCATTCTAATGGATTGTGAAGTGAAAACTTTTAGTTTTAAAATTAATTGTTGAGTACCAATGATGATTAAAGAAAGTCTGATGGAGAATATTTCCCCATGTCTCACTGACCAGGAATCTCTGTGGCTTATGTGGTCCAAATAAGGTCAATCCTATTTCCAGGACCAGATCTAGAAGAAACAAGAAAGCCCACGACTGCTGTTGCTTCTTCCTGCCACACGGTGTCGCTGTTGAAGATGGGTCCTGGGCAGCCTGGTGCACATTGCTTGTCATTGCTCTGCTGTCGTCTCAGGTCCTTCTATTAGTTCCACTCGATTTTCCAGAGGAAACAATATGCCTTGGCTACAATTGCAGTTCTTCAATTAAATTAGACAAATACTCATTGAGTGCCTACTGCATGCCAGGCTCCGACCTAGGTTCTGGGAAAACATCAGAACAAAATAGACAATGATAGCTGCCTGCCCTTGTGGGGGCTACACGATAAACAACAAACACAATAAATAAGTAAATTACAAAGCATGTTAAAAGGTGTTAAGCACCACGAAGAAATAAAAGAGTAAAACAGGGTAAGGGGGACTGGGAGCATGTGGTGGGGTATTGGGTGGGGTTGTACCATTGGGAAACATTCAATAAAGTCTTGAAGGAGGTGAGTTGTGTTGGGAGCAAGAGTTCCAGGTGGAGGGACCAGCCCTAAGGTGGGAGTCCACTGGTTATGTCTGAGGTCAGAGTAAGCAAGGGGGATGTGTAGCAGGACAGGAACATGGCCCTGGGGGCCACTGAAAGGACTTGGACTTAACTCTGAGTGAGACGGGGACTCATTGTAAGATTTTGAGCACAGAAGTGAATGATATGACATGTTTTAAAAGCTTCACTGTGGCTTATGTGTTGAGAATACATTGAAGCGGGGTGGGGGCAGAGACAGCAATGGGGAGACCAATTAGGAGGCAGCTGTGATAATTCTGGGTGACAGACACCACGGTTCACAAAGTCACCACGACTATCACTGACCCCACCCCCAGCCTCCTGTGCAAACCCTCTGCCTCTGCTTGGGGGGAAGCATTGAAGAGAAGAACAGCTGTTATTGAGGACCTACTATGTGCCAGTCATTGTTTTAGGTGCTTTGTGTTGACGATCTCATTTAATCTTCAATGGGACTTGTGGGGAAGGGATTGCTCCACAGACATTTCCAAGCCCATGCTATGGACTGAAATGTGTCCCCTCCGGAATTCATATGTTGAAGCCCTCACCCCCAATGTATTTGGAGATGGGGTGTTGGGGGGTTTAGATGAGCTTACAACGGTGGGGCCCTCACGATGGGATTAGTGTCTTCGTAAGAAGAGACAACTGGGAGTACCCCATCCTCTCTCCTCTTTTTCTTTCCCTGCCCCCACCTCTTCCTCTCTTCCTCCCCACGCCACCTGAGGACACAGAAAAGGTGGCTGTCCGCAAGCCAGGAAGAGAGTCCTCACCTGCTGGCACCTTGGTCTTGGATTTGCCAGCCTCCAGAACTGTGAGACGCAACTGTCTGCTGTTTAAACCACACACTCTGTGGCCTTAGTCGTGGCAGCCCGAGCTGACAAATGCCGCCCATTTTACTGGCGAGGACACTGGAGCTCCAGGGTGTCGGGTCACTCAGCTGGGGAGTGGCAGAACGTTGGGCTGGGCTGTGACGCGAGATCCGGGAGCCAGAGAGCACAGGGCATGAGTGAGACATGGCATGGAGGAGTTGAGGAGGGACAAGGCCACATTTCAGGGGCATTTGGGCCAGTGGTCTCCCGCCTGGGTGGGGGATCAAAGGTGGCAGTGTCTGGGAATGAAAGTGTCACTTTGGGTGGGTTTGGAGGCTGCTCCTGGTTCACCCTCTCTGTGCAGTTTCCCAGGGCCTGGCTCCAGCTTTTGCTGGCATGCGGGGTGTCCTCCTGGGGCCCCACTGAGGCCCTTCCTGCTGCCCCCACCAGCCTTGCCTGTGGCTTGAGCTGTCCAGGCTGGTGCTCCTGGGGCTGGCAGGGGGTGGGGATGGGGCATGGAAGGGGGGAGGGGAGAGGCACCAGGGTTCAATCATGACTCCCTGGGGCCTGTTAGCTGCTCACTCTCATAGAAGGTGGTGAAGAGGGCAGAGTGTTAATGACAGTAATTGCTTTAATTATTTTTTTTTTTGGTTTGGAGAGTCATAAAATGCAGCAGCTCTGCTCGGTGCTAATCATGGTAATTAGGAGGGGCTGGGGCTGGCTAGGACAGCAGTTGTTAACGAGAGGGAGGTAACAGCCTGCAGAGACAGACAGGAGCCAGGTCCTGTTTTCTCTCCTGTCTTCTGCTTTCCCCTTCCCCTCCTCCACCCTCCTCCGCCCCCTGCCCCCTTTCCAGGGAGGCCTCTTGGATGGCTCCAGGGACTGACTTCAGGTCCAGGAGACACAGCTGTTTGGGGGCACAGGGGAGAGTTTGGTCACAAGCAGAGTCTGTCTCTGCTCTTAGCAGCCTCTGCACAGCTCCTCGAGGCTGCAGACAGTCTGTGATGGACCAAGCAGCTTGCCCCTACAGACGAGCCAGAAGAAAGAGCAGGGCCGCCCCCTTGGGCGAAGCTGCGGGAAGCCACTGGGAATGGGAGTTGGGCCACCTCCCTGCATCCCTTTACCCACAGCCAGCCAAGCAGTCCACACTCAGCCACCATTTCCTGAGCACCTACTGAGCATTAGGCTGGAGGTTCTGTGGGGGAATTCCTCTCTGCCTTGTTCTCAGGGAGCTCCCGGTCAGACAGGGAGCTGGCGTGGAAGAATTAATGACCTTCCAGGGTGGCATCTGAAGCACAGAGCTCAGGCCAAAGGTGTCAGCTCTTGGTAAGTCAGAGAAGGCTTCCTGGAGGAGGCGGCAGGGTCATGGGGGGAGACGTCCCGGAGGAAGCGACTTTTGCTAGGTCTTGCAAGGTGAGCAGGAGTTTCCTGGATGGGAGAGTGGGGGATCCTGGGCTGAGGAAACAGCAGGGACAAGGAGCTAGAAGAGGGTACAGAGAGGGCAGATGGGAGACACAGCCAGAGAGTCGCTTTGGGCTAGAGTGTGAAAGGCCTTGAAGACCGCACTGTGGAACTCGGGCTTGACGTGCCAGCTTCTGAGTCCCCTGTGCACGGGGCTTGGGAAAGGGCTGGAGTCAGGCAGCTTTTTTTAATAGGAAATAGATGAAAGCATGTAGACAAAGCACAAAGCGAGTGCTCCATGGATGATATCGAGGACGATGACAAAGTGATGTCCCAGGCCTGCATGGACGCGCTGGTGCAGAAACTTAGAGACAGCCGTACACAGACGTGTGAGCTACGATGACACAAGGCACAGACACAAACTTACGGTTACTGTCCTGCCCCGCCCCGGAGACACGCACAGACACAAAGCCATGCTCGACACACCAGATCCACAGACCTGAGTTCATCTTGGAGGGGCTTTCTAAGGCCAGGGTGTGCCCCGGCTCCGTGGCCTTGTAACTTTGCTCCCTGGGACTGTGGGCTGCAGGGCTGGGGCCGAGTCAGGGAGAACTTCCTCTGCAGATGACCCCAGCGGTCCCTCTGCTCTGTCAGAACGTGACCCCTGGCACTGCAGCTGGAGAACTTGAGGCCAGCTGTCAGGAAGAACTGTCCTGCCAAGAAGTCAGTGGTGGGGTAGGTTTCTGCAGCCAGGGGGGCCACTTACCACCCCAGGCCAGAGTGATTGGTGAAGCCTACATACCTGGCTTGGGGCAGGGGCTGTTCCCCCCTACCCCCCCGCAGAGCTCTTACCCTGTTCTAAGATTAGGGTCTCAGGTCAGCAGGGGCTTAGGTGGAGGAGATGTGAGCTCAGCGAGGTGCGTGGGAATCTCTGTTGAAGATGATAAGGGCCTCACAGCAGCAGGGAGAGTGCTTGGACCTCAGGGGCCCCTTGTGGGTTGTGAGGGAATGCAAGGAACAGCAGAGGAGCACAGGGAACCAAGGGGAGCAGAGAGGCCCCCGGGGTTTGGTGAGGAGCTGTGATCCCTGGGAGCTTGCTGTGTGCCAGACACGGTTCCAAAGTGTGTGACATGTGTTAACTCGATTAATCCTCTAACACGCAACAGAGCAGGTGTCATTAGCAGCCCATTTTACAGATGCAGAACTTTAAGTATCGTGTGCAGTTCACACGGCTCGGAGGTGGCAGGGGCTGAACGGATCCCAGACAGACGGGCCGCAGAGTCTGCCCCATCACCGCACTCGCTGGGCCAGAGTCCGAGGTTCTGTCCCTGCCTGCTTCCCCAGACTGACAGCTCCTTGAGGACAATGACAGTGACTGTTTCATCCTCGTGTTCCCAGTAGCCAGCACAGGCTGAGCTGCTTACCAAGTCTGGATGGAAGGGAGGAAGGGAGGAGAGAGGGAGAGAGGAAAGGAGTATTAGAGGCAGGAGCTTGTCCAGAGGGTCTCGGGGCATCTCGGCCCTCCCATCCTGTCCCTGCAAGCATTCCCCGCCTATTGGGAGCCCTCCGGCACCTGCCACCACCCCTGGATCCTCCAGATCTCCTGAAGCTCAGCTGCCTCCTTGTCCAATTTCATTTTCTGTCCAGACAAACGAGGGGCTGGATGCACCTTCCCATTCACACGGGCTGGTTGTCAGCTGCAGTGGCATCTGTTCTTGTCAGAAAAGTTAAGAAGGAAGTGAAAAAGGCGCAGCCCTAGTGCTGCTGGCTGGGGAATCTGGGCCTGGCCTCTCCTGGGAAGACCCTGCCTGTCTCCCAGAGAAGGTGCCTGGGGGCCAGGCCAGGGCCAGAGTGGACACGGGTTCTCCACCAGCATTCTCTTCCTTTCAGAGGGAAGGTGACTCTGGAGCCAACTCTTGAGCTGAGTCCCAGCTCTGGACTGACCAGCTGTGTGTTTGTTTGGGCAAGTTACTTAACTTCTCTGTGCCTTAGTTTTCCTATCTATAAAATGGGTTTAATAATAATGTGAGCACTTGGAACAAAATGTGCATCTGGCACTTAGTAAGTAGGTGCTTGGTTAGTGTTGGTAGTTGTGATTCTCTTCCTTGCCCTAGGGATTGCTCCTGAGTGAGGGGCTCAGCCTCCTGGGGTGGTGGAGCCAGGGGGTCAGAGCTTCCTGGGGACTAGACAGGTTGGAGAAGGCATCATTCATTCTACCGACTTTTGTTGCTCTCAGGCCCCTCGTCCCTGCCCTTGGGAACCCCCAATCTGTGGGGGTGGAGGCAGACACATAAACAAGGAGTTAGTCCAAGAGGCAGGTATGTAACATCCAGGAACAAAGAGGAGGAAGTGACTCCTCAATGTCCCAGGCCTGCGTGGACGTGCTGCTGCAGAAACTTAGAGACAGCTGTGTGAGCTACGATGACACAAGGCACAGACACAAACACACAGTTACCGTCCCACACCCCCCCCCCAGAGACACATACAGACACAAAGGCATGCCAGACACAACAGACCCACAGATGTGAGCTCATCTTGGAGGGGCTTACTAAGGCCAGGGGTGTGCCCCAGCTCCGTGACCTTGTAACTTTGTTCCCTGGCACTGTGAGCTGCAGGGCTGGGGTATAAAGTTGGCAGAGGGAGGTCAGGGAAGGCTTCCTGGAGGAGGTGATGTGAGCAGAATGTGGAAGTGCAAATAAGTTTTTCAGGCAGCCCCAGGGTGCAAGGCATTCTGGGAGCCT